CTATCAGTGTTGTTGTTTTTATCATGAAATATCAATTTCCTACCACTACACACACACACACACACACACACATATGTGCATATGTATATATACATATATATATATATATATACAAACACACACACACACAATATATATATACACACACACACACACACACATATATATATATATATATATATATATATATATATATATATATATATATATATATATATATATATATATATATATATATATGTTTATATATTTTTCTTTATATATATATATATATATATATATATATATATATATATATATATATATATATATATATATATATATATATATATATATATATATATATATATATCGATATATATATATACATATATATATATATATATATATATATATATATATATATATATATATATATATATATATTTATATATATATATATCGATATGATCTGTGTGGGAGAGGTGATTCAACTGAGCTATCTGGTGATAATGATGAAGTGAAATCAAATCCTGCAAAATAGATAATTTATTTGTCTCTTGTATCAAATACAGATATGTAGTCATATAAAATCAAAACTACAGAATTAAATGAAACAGAGCCAAAAGAATGGATTGTATTAATGGTTAATGCTTTGAAACAAATAAATGTGCTAGACATCAAAAGTCATATAGCACTATGGTAAAATATTATGATGGAAAGGGTTTGAAGTAGTTTTTGTTAGAACAAAATGTCTTAGATTTCAACGGCCGTGGTATAATTTGATAATATGGCAGTTGAGGGGTGGAAAGAGAGGAAATAAGATAAAATAGTAGGATATGTGGAACTCAGAAAGGAACAGTGCATGGGGAGTATAGACATGAGATACGAATGCGTGAGGCGGGTGTGACCTATTCGTAAACGGGCAAGGTCAGTTTCCCAACGTCTGTTCTGGCGGGATGGTGCCGACCAGTGAGAGATGCAAGGTTTTATTATTTGTATTTATTGGTAGTCAGACTTGACCAGAGAGATTGTCAACGGTTATAGAGGAAAGATTTAAAGTGAGGATAAAAATCGATGGTTGGGATGTGTGAAAAGCGGGGGTCCTGGCTTGTGGACAAGGCGGCGGTTCGTGCCAAGGCATCTGCTTTTTCATTGCTGGGTATCCAGCAAAATTTAATTGTTTTCTGTTGTATAGACAATTAAAACAATTGATCCTGTATTTTTCGGACTATAGAGTTGATAAGGTGTATGGATTTTATGAGTGAGTTGCGTGAGTCAGTGTGAGAGGGAAAGACTATAGTACCCGAGGTGCATTTGGAGCGGTCTGTATGAACATGGGTACTGGAGGAGTGACTAGAGATATGTGCAAGAAAGTGTGTGAGGAGGATAGAAGGTGGGATGTTTGATTTGAGTGGGTCAGGGAAAATAGAAAAGCAATTACAGGAGGAAGGTATTAACCAGGAAGGGGAAGTTTGGGCAGAAAGAGGAAGAAATTGATGTTATTACCGACTGGAGTAGCTGATTGAGGGCTGGTATGGAAGGACCAGAAGCAAAGATGGCTAGATCATCTACATATATTCCTGGATTCCTGGTGGTAGAGGTGAAACTGATCCGTTTACAGCAATGAGAAATAGTGTGGTGCTGAGCACACTGCCTTGTGGGGCACCTTCGAATTGTGGGAAGGAAGAGGAAATGGAAGAGGCAAATCTGACTCGGAATGTGCGATCAGAAAGAACGGACTTTATGAAAACGCCCATGTTTCCGCGTACGCCATTGAAAGATGGTTGTTGAGGTATATGATGCATGTGGTATCATATGCCCTTTTTAGAGTAAAAAGACAGATAATACTGAATCACAGCGTGCAAATGCTGACGTGATTTGTGTTTCGAAGTATGCAAAATGACCGGCTGTGCTACGGCCGCGACGAAATCCAAACTGATTTGAGAGATAAGGTAACCATCCTTTCTAGTACTTTGCATGAGCAGCTTGTGAGTGCTATGGGACGGTAGTCTTGTGGTAGGGAACCAGGTTTGTTTGGTTTTAAGAAAGGTAGTACAAGGACTTTATGTTAGTGGGGTAGAAAATTTCCAGTTGCCCATATGTTATTGAATATTGTTAGAAGGAAGGACAAGGAATTAGGTGGAAAGTGTCGTGACATACGGTAATGATACCGTCTGGCCCTTCATGGGTATTGCGGCATGACTGTAATGCATAAGAGATTTCAGAAAAAAATGTGCATTATAAGATTTTGTAGAGGAGAGCTCTTTATGGAAGATTTTATGGAAGAGATGAGAAAGGTGAAAGCCGATACTGACTTTGCTAAAATAGGCACCAAGTTCAGTAGCTACTTGAAGAGGGTCAAAGATGAGGCTATTATGGATATGGAGGATGGGAGTAGAAACTGGGTTTAGATGATATTATGGAGGATGCATAATTTTGCCAGATGTTTGTCATGATTGTACGATTGTACGGCGAAGATGGGCTGATGCCTTTTCAAATGATATAAGGGCAGTTAACTGAGTGCAGGTGTCTCTCTTGTATCAATAGCTATTCCGAGCTGCATGCTTCAACCAAAGCGCTTTAGTACTTTCTAGGTTCCATCATGGAATACATTTGGAAATGTAAGGTCGAGAGGTGTGAGGGATGGTTGTATAGGTTGCATTTAGGATTGTGAAGTAGAGAAGCATGTCTGAAATGACAGAGGATAATGGGGGAGGGTCAAGAGCAGAGAGAGGGGTAAAGGTATGCCAGTCAGCTTTGCCAAAGCACCAGCAAGGCGAATTGCGAAGTGGGACCTAGGAAGTAGGAGAAAGCAGAATAGGAAAGTGATCGCTAGAGTGAAAGTGGTCTAGAACTGACCAATGGAAATCTAGACGAAGGGTAGGAAGAGAGAAATCAAGTCATGAGAATGATAGGGTACGCATGTCGAAGTGAGTGGGGTGATTTGAATTTTGTAGGATAAAGTCAGTATTTGAGAGAAAGTGCTCTAACGAGCGACCTCGGGAAGTAATAGTGGAGTCCTCCTAGAGGGTGTGGTGACGGTTAAAATCTCTACAACCAGGAAAGGTGGTTGGAGTTAGGAAAGTAAGGTTTCAAAGGCCATAAAGTCTATTGGAGAGGAAGGGGAGAGATAACTGAAATAACTGTGATCCAGTGGCGGTGAAAAGTGCGGATAACTGTGCAAGCTATAGAGGTTTGTAAGGTAGGTATGACATATGGTGTTTTATGATGGACAAGTATGGAGGAGGCAGATAGAGAGTGAGGGAATGATACAAAATGGTAATTGGGTATTGATACAAGAGTATGAGTGAGGAAGGTTCTTGGAGGAAGACAATGTATGGGTTATAAGATGGGAGGTGGCGAAGGTCAGGTCAGTGAATGTTCCAGGAAGAGGATGAATGTCTTCATTCACTGTGAATGTAGCCGGGATCGGGGTACAGAAATTGGAAGATGTATGAGAGAGAGGAACTTTCTCTTGGGTTATGTTTAGGAAGTTTGGATAGAGGGGGTAGGAGTAGAGTGGAGTAGGGAGTGATTGAAAGTTTATATCTGAGAACTACTACCTCAGACTCAAACTTGTAGGCAGGGCAGCCCATATAAAACACATTAGGGGAGCCACTGCAACTGGCACATGTACATGATTATTCTGGGCAGTTTGAATGGTCATGACCAGGTTGGGCACACAGAGGGCAATGGGCTGCGGAGCGACAGTGCTTTACAGGGTGGCCAAAGCACCAACATTGTTGACATTGACAGGGTGGAGGATGATACGGTCTGACAGGGCAAGATTCTCCTCCTTTATAGACCTTATGGGGAAGGTCACGTCTAGGAAAGGTAATCTTGGCAATATTGATGTGGGACTTACGGCTGTAGCACCGTACGTATATTGCATCATAGTCATCAAAGCAGGTAAGTAGGTTATCTTCACAATCTTCGTCATATACTGGGCAATCACCCGGGGAGATAGCAAGAGTTCCAGTACATGTATTAGGGGAGGAGTGGGGTTGGGCAGGAATAGGTTTGCCAGTGAGGTCTTCCAGGGTAGATAGTGCATGGGCTTGAGGCTCAGATGTAGCTGTGGCAAGACATGAGCAATCAGGGCGACTGCAGAAGGAAACTTTGCCTGCTTGTTTTTGGAGACATTGTTGAAAGAAGAGGGTATTATTTGAATAAGGCGTTGTTGGGAGAATCACGCAAATCTGTCCCAATTAGCTGGGCTAAACAGAGTATTCAAAAGATTTGTAGAAGTGATGACTGCACAGAAGGTGAGTTGGAAGATATTGCGAGTGAGGAAGGGGTGTCTTTTGAAGGTTGAGTTATATCCTAGGTAGATGATTCAGTGTGGGTTAAGGTGATAAAACATGTCGAGGAGGGGGATGTAGTAGCAGTGGTCAGAGCCATCAGTGAAGAGTCAGGGGCCAGTAAACCAGAGGAGTTAGATTCAGAGAGGCTAGTTGATAAAGGGATAAGCTTCAATGCCCCTAATAAGGATACAAAATCTTCATTACTGGCCATGCTAAGCCTGAAATATGTGGGAAAGATAAAAGGTCCACCACTCAAGAGTCCCTTTGAGAGAAAAGAGCTAAACAATTAACCAAGGGAATACTGTGTCCATGGCTCCCCGAGGCCGTTCATGACTGGCACAAAGTCAGTTTTTCATCCTTTTAACATAGATCTCACACCTTAGGAATTGGACAGGGGAAGGGTTGGGGAAGGTAAAAGAAGAAAAGGGGAAGAAGAAAAGGCAAGTTAAGTTAAGGCAAGGGCTGAGGCTCAAGATAGGGGAGATTTCCAGTATTGGGCCTCAGTCTCCATCTCCTAAGCCCCCCCACGACAAAAACGGGCAAGGGATTGGTGGGGGGGGGCGGCTTGTATTGTGACTGTTTTATCTGTGTGTAGCTATGTGCTCATAGTTCTGTATATTTCACAATGTTAGATATGAAATGTATACTTGCTATTGTATGCCAGCCAATACTATATTTAAAACAGGAAAGAAAAAGAACCAAGCTAGTGATCATTATTCTTATTCATCTAAACATTTTCTAAACAAATATTGCAGATATTTCCTAACAAACTAGCTGAGAGACATTAAGCACAAATATAAATAATCGAAAAACTGATGAAATATATTTAAATATAGTCAAGCGCTACAATTATATCCAAGACAGTCATATTCAAATAAAAAAGCTTCATGGAACTGAGGAAATAAACTCAAATATTTACAAGAAAATTAAATATATACCTGAAATCTTTGGTATATTACACTTTAAATCACAGTGTCATACCCTGAATATTATCTTTTCTTTTAAACAGGAAAAAGACATTAGTCAACTACAGTGAGTTCTTACATATTAAAAGGCTCAAGGATTTAACATTAACCACAATGCATTTATGTTTTATTCATGAACATATAATATGAAAGGCTTTCAACTGCCAAACAAAGAGTAAGATTATTCATTATGTATTATCCATCAAGCATTTGAATCTGAGGTATGTATAACAAATTAGTAAATGCCAAAATTTACCATTCATGTAACCCTATGTATCCTATAATATTAGTGAAATATGTTCTAAAAAACGTATATCTACTTTTAGTTGGGTAGAAGTATTCTTATGGTGTAACTGTAGAAATAAGATTACTGTATCAATCATGTGATTTCCTTTTAGTTTACAAATGGCCAACCACAGTAGAATCTCTATAAAGAACAAAATAACAATGAAAATACAAAACAAATCCATATTGAAAAAAATATACTCTATGTGACCTCTCTATACTACGAGCACATTGTACACATTATTAATATAATCTTATTTCATCAAATTTCTTGTCTGGAGGGCATTCATGTTTAGAAGTACCTTAGTAATACCTGACCCTGTTTCATAGGAAATGTGTGTTAAAAACAATTTACACCCATTGATAAAATTTCATTATGAGCTCACCAAAGAAAATATAACTGAAATTTTCAGGTCTAATTTGTAACTTAACCTAAGTTATAAACAATAATCTAAAATGGTCTACCTATTAAATTTATATATAATTTTTTTTTAATTACACTTACCAACAACCACTTATCCTCATTTGGCTTAAACAACTGTTTTAAACACCACTAATCAAACATAATCTCCTATGAAATATGTAATCATTCAAAGAAATCAACTTCTACAATGGACTTTCAACACCCGATTCATACCAACAGTATGAGTAACTAATAATAATTACTTAACCCAATACCACAAGGGATGGCATGTACACATATGCCATGCCCATTGTGAATTTAATTTATTAGTGGTTTTTACACATAGATGGCTCCAAAAGTATTAAGTACAGAGACACTTCACAAACTACAGTGAACTCAACACTTCACAGCAACAGTGGGTTGATTCTTGTAGTTCTGATTACATCAATCAAAATATCAAATAGTAACCTATTCCTCAAAATAACCTTTATAAAGGCTTAGTAATTAGGTAACCATTTCACTATCATTATAAAACTGATATCATCTTCATTTAATCCTTAAATGCTTTTGAAAATTTATATTTTTCATTTGCCATGCAATATATGAATGCAATAATAATTCTGAATATATTTTATTTAAACACATAAAAATTATTGCTTATGCCTCGCAAGAAAATAGTCCAAAGCACTGTTATTTATTCTATGATAACTGACTGTTTTACCCCTAAAATTGAGATGTGACATGTCACATTTGGTAGTATTTTCCACTGAAATAGTCCCCCCCTCTTTTAGACTTTGGCACTCCAAATAATTACAACATTCTAAACAAAGCATGAATCAACAGATTTTGTGGGGTACATGGGTGATGCCAAATCAAACAAATTAGAATATACATTATTCCTACTTTAAAACATTTCATTCTGTGCAAAGGCTCTAAAAATCTTTAAAAAGTGCTCTTTCATGACAATGAAAATTTGCAAATTAACATATTACACTTTCTATTGCCTAGAAATTACGATATAACATCAGCATGTACAATTCAGCACATATCATTTGCACTAAAATTCATGCCCTATTTCCTTTTAGAAAAACAAGGTGTACCACACTGGAAAAACACCAGAAGCTGATTAGGTTTGGGGAGGAAAATTAATTATCTGGCAGATAAAATATTACATATAATCTAATGACTATGTATGCATTGGAAATGTCTAAGAAATGCCTGGGATTATATCACAAGCATATTACCTCCAATATGATTAGAAAATTGAATGCATCCATATGAAGATGTAAAATTCCTAGAGTAAATTGTGCCTTTTGACAGGTTACTAATGAAAACTGGCACTGTAAGGACCTCTTCCAAACTTCAGTATATGCTTAATTCTAAACATAAGGCTTGTCAGGGTCTAAGCTAAAGGTTTACTATGTAATACCTCTAACTCTTAGAAATGCAGGGTAGATGACCACTTGTCTTTTATAATGACAATGAACAAACAAATAAGCACACATCATATATATTCATTTAATAGTGAGTATTCTCTATATATCATACACAAATCAAATAAGAAAGTTTGTTCTTAAACAGACTGACTAGACCATGCATATAAATAAGAGAAGTAGTACCTGTTGAAGTACCTGAAGACCTGACTGACAGTAACAGAGGAATGTCATTAAATATTCATAGACTCTTGCACAATGAAGAAACACAAAGGAAAATATCACTGGTTTCATATGTATTTGCCTTAAAAAAAAGGTATCACGCTACCTACATTTATATGCATTACAATAATGTGCTTGAAACATAAGCAAAACATTTTTGGTATTAATTAACCAGTGTATTCCTTGGATTAAGGAAAAATGATATATAAAATATGTGATCTACAAGCCTAGTATGTAAAGCCTCTTAAGTGGCTACTGATCACTTAGCCTAAAGAAAGTGCATCTTATCAGCAAGTGGACATTACTAAATTCCAGATTGGTTTGCAAAGGAGGAATCTTGCAGAGTACCATTTGATTGAGGCTATGACAGCAATAAATTGAACAAATGACTGAGTAACATAAAGGACAGCAGAATATACTGAAAGCTTCCTACACTTTCTTCTTGAGATTCTCACTGTTCTGCTTAACATATAGCATCCAAGATTCAAGATCATTTGGAATGTTAGGTCGTTCTGGAGATTCTGAGAGGCGGGTAGACAAGAGCTCATCTGGACTTGACCCCAACACTGTCAGCTTCACATAGGCAGTTGCTCGAAGGAAGTTGTCATGTATTGTTTCAAAGTTCTGGCGGTAGTATAAATTTCGCTCATCCCAGTAAACAATCTGTAAATTGTCAATCTCTTTTGATTTACATGGATAAAATAGAAACAAATATTTCAAAAACATGGTACTTCATTATCTAAACAGATTAATATATTCTTGAAATTAGAAGGATTGAAAATAAAACTCAAAACTGAATAAAAAAATAATTGATGTAGTTAAATATTGGGAGTATCGAATATTAGTCAATAATTTTAGTAAACCTTAAAAAAGTAAATACACCACAAACAGGAATGAAATTCAACCCCTAAATTCCAAGCCATCTCAGCAGAGTTGAATCAAAGGATTATCAGCTCTTAAATACCGGCAGGCTGATTACCCTCCTATACTTCAGTATGAATGGAACATACAGAGGATATATTAGTATATCTGGTACTAATTAGCATTTCTCTTCCAGCCTCTAGGCCTCAGGCAACTATGCCCCCCTCTCTTTACTTACTCCTAACCCCCCCCCCTAAGTTTTCTACTGTATGTTTGGATGGCTTTGCCTCTCACACAATCCTACCTCTATAGTCCTACCCCCTACCAAGGACTACTAACTGCCTTACCTCATTTCCATAAGACCACTTCCTCCTCCTACAATTGTCTCCTTGTGTGACTAAGCCACTCAATATGATATTTTCTTTGTCGTATCTTATTTAGATTTTTTTCATCTAATATTATATCAGTCATCATAAATATATGTTCTATTGTATTTTATTGTATAATAAGTATTTCACATAAGTGTTATATTTATGTTTTCCAAAGTATTTTTCCCAATTTCTTCCATATATAATGGGTAACTTCCTTCATACTTAATACTCAATTGTTTGGCAACTATTTAATATACCAGCACAAGACATATAATTATTCATATTTAAAATCAAGCTCTTTACACTATAAATACCAAATTTATCCCACCCCTCCCATTTAAAAGTTGGAAGTTTAGGGTTCTTTGCAAGTGAAGAGGGGGGATGGAATTACAGTCTTAGGGGGTTAACAATCAAATAACCCATAAAAATGCACACCCAAAATCCATTAAGGAGGAGACTTCATCATGCCACTCTATTAATATTAACCACTGGATCCAGGTGACATGAAAGTCTTGTTGTGAAACAATTTGGCAAAGCAGTGGGTGACAGGAATGTTTTGCCATGGATTAAAATAATACTATCACTGTGATAATGCCAGCATTATATACATATTGATTAGTGCCTTTCTGTGATATGTTACGCTATGTGAAGAAATGCATATGATTTTTTATTAGGTTTAGTCTATCTTAGAGTTAGCATATAAACTTTATGTTAATGAATGATATTTCATTTACAACTTGAGATGTACAATAATCTGTATGATCTGCCTCTGTCCTTGCATATGTGGCAGAGTGCATGAGAAATTTCTTCTTTATTCTTTATATCTGGTCTCCAGTAAGCTTAATTACTCTGTTACTGGTGTTTCCTTCACCCCCCCCCCCCCAGTATTATGGATGAACACAATATACAATAAACAGCTATGGAACACCTAGATCCAAACCATAACTTAAATGTAAGATCCAAGTACCACACTAAAATGAAGCAATTTTCTATTCTTACTATCATCTCAAAACTGACCTGAGATTCCAGCCTGTATGGCATAAAGAGATAAACTGGCTTGCGGTATCTGATGGTACTGGCTGCAACAAGAACCTGCACCTTCTTTCCTGAAACGCCACTTAAAAGCCTGGACCTGGTGAAGTGGTCCACACGACCAAAGTCCATGGCCCTAAGGTATCGTGAATTGTTGATGTGGTTCAGCAGGAAGTCTATGTCTCTGGTTGTGCATATACCTGAGAAAAGTGCAAATTACTCATTTCATGTGGGATGAAAGGATAAAGAGATCTCTTTAATAAATTAATATATTCTTCATATAATGAACTCCTTCTCTCTCTCTCTCTCTCTCTCTCTCTCTCTCTCTCTCTCTCTCTCTCTCTCTCTCTCTCTCTCTCTCTCTCTCTCTCTCTCTCTCTCTCTCTCTCTCTACACTCCTCTCTCCCTCTCCCCCTCACTTCTTCTCCTCCTCACTTCCTCTCTCCCTCTCTACC